TTTAACATATTTGTTAATTTATTCAAAAATAACAATAAGGTATCACGTGTTAACATAACACATTTTTAATAAAAAATAACTATATTTTCCAAAGCAAAAAAGGCCACATTTTTAAATAATTTTACAAATCTGTTTAATGTGTGACATAATAGAAAAAAGATAGGTTCTCATATCAGCCTCTGCATTCAATTTATTGTAATATATTTCCTTGGTTAAGTATATGAAGAAAATCAGACTTCATGCAGATATGCATTTTAAAGGCTTTTCTGATCATTGTGAGTATACCGGTAGCCTATCCTTAAAGACTGAGAGTGAAAAATGCAAATAATGCCTTTATAGCTTTGTAAAAATAATTTTTACTTCATGGACACCTGAAAGAGTCTTGGGACTTTCTGGGGTTGCTAGGCCACACCTAGAGAACCATTGAATGTATTTTATATCCAGTAACACCTGAGTTTTGTTTTGTATGAAATATTGTTATATTTTAACAAAAAGTGAAAAAAAAAAACAGTGGCAGAGAGCATGTGGAAAGCTTAAATTTCTTTTCTTCTAAAAGAACACTGACTACGTTATTATAGAGAGTTTCATAGGATATACCAGTTATGAGATTTACTGTCTGGCAGTCTCCCCATGTGCTAACTAAAAATGCCAAAACTTAAGTGGTGACTGTTTTCTCCCACCCCAGCTTTATTAGGGTGTAATTGACCAATATAGATTATATATATGTAAGGTATACAACTTGATGTTTTGTTAGACCTATACATTGTGAAATGATCACCACAGTCAAACTATTTAACATATCCGGCACCTGGCATAGTTACGTGTGTGTGTGTGTGTGTGTGTGTGTGTGTGTGTGTGTTAAAAGTATTTAGGATCCATCCTCTTAGCAAATTTCTAGTATACAGTAGAAGACTGTTAACTATAGTCACTATAGGTGGTGGCTGTTCTTAAAAGAGTATTTCTGATGACTAGTGCTTTCTTATGATTAGTAATAGATTTTAGAAATTGTTATTTGTCCTTTTCATTCAGCTATGAATTATTTTGGGGTGATAGATGGATATGTGCTAAAATGCATTAATTTTAATGTGTTTCTTTATTTTTCATGTCATAAAATTAGAGATGGAAGAGACCTCATGAGTTGGGCAGTCCATCACTCTGGCATAATATCATGGGTCTTTCTAGAAAGGCTTTGTCTGGCTCAGTTTTAAATGGAAAAGGCAATTACACTCCTATTAGTTCCCTTGGAAGACTATTCCATTTCCTCATAGATCTCCATTTTGAAATGTTGCCCAACATCCAGCCATGTTGGCTGAAATGCTATTAATCCTAGAAAGGATAAGTCCCCTGTGGGGTTCTCTCCTGGAGAACTTCCCCCACATTACTCCTGTGGTAAGTGTTCTGGAATGCAACCAATCTAGTCTATGAACTGTGCAACCCAACTGGCTATTGAGCACATACTGGCTTGTAAACTCGCTCTTGTTGAATCATCTGATAAGGAATTTATGATGTAGTTGTAAGATTTCTGCAAGGGTATTCATTACAAGGTCACTGGAGATGATCATATACAGAAAATGGGTGAACAGGTGGTCTTATTTGGTAAGAAAACTTTTACACAGCAAAAGGAATGAAGTGTTACTGTGTCATTCTACATATTAATCAAATGATAGCCGCAAGTGATTTTAGAGTCACCCTAGAAAAATGGCTGACATCTGAATAAGTGAATAAACATCTCAGGTATTTGTAGTAATAATGATGAGATAATTTCATAAATTTTTGAAAGATGAAACATACAATTCTATTTCTATACTAGAAAGTCAAGATGTAAATCTCTAGGAGCATATTTTTAAAGAGAATATGCTGTTTTTATGCCTTGGTGTTATTTATATGGCTTATTTAAACATTATTTTCTGAAAGCATAAAACTTGAATTCCTGATCTCTTCATGCTTAGCTGATTGGGTGATAGTTTGGGAGACATTATGCTGTCTCCTTGATCTTGCATTTAAAAATTTATTTCCACTTACTCTTATAAATCTAGATTATTTTGTCTTCACTTTGAAAGCAATTTCAACAAATCTCTTGATGTAGTCCAGTAAACATTCTCATGTAAAATGATCTTTAAGTTATTCTTTAAGAGTCAGACTCCTCCTCACCCCCTGCCCTTAATGACACAACTTTATGATTTTCTCAAGAAGAGGAAAAGGCAACAAACTAGAAATGGAATTCTGCTTATTCCATTTTGCTAGTGCCTAGCACGTGGACAGAATGTGGTTGTTTTTTTTTATTAATATAGAACTTTTTCTTCCCTCCCCTGTCTTCCTCCCTTCCAGCTGCATGGCTTCAGTTGAATTTTGTTGTTGTTTTGTCTTTAAAAGAGACTGTTTGGATGAGTCAGTGAAGCAATAATGAAAAACAAGAGGTTGGAAGCTCGCTCTCAGCATTCCCAGACAACATAAAGGCAAGGCAAGCACCCCACATGATGTTTTGGAAAGAAATCCAGCTCTTAAGATCTCTGTTAAATGTACAAATATAAAAACAAAAACAAACAAAAGAACCTAAAGGCCCTTCAGTGGCTGCTAAAAAGATCTTTATTCAATCTGGAAAGGCAAATGACTTATTATTCGTTTAGAAATAGTGTTTTATCATCTTTCAGATTTGTTTTATAAAATTTATGGGAAAGCTAATGCCAATACTCAGTGACTCCATTATATACCTACAAGCATTTATATTCTTCATCAGGAAATGAATTAACAGGGATAGAAGGTGAGATTACTAAACTCTTAGAGGAATATCAGCTTTTTTTGCTGTTCAAAATAGTTTTCAACTCTTGGGCATATTCTTAGCTCTATAAATTCATTTAGCAAACAAGAAATAAGGAAAAAATAACTTTAACTGTAACCTTAAACTGGTGTGTATGGATGTGTGTGTGTGTGTGTGTGTGTGTGTGTGTTTACATACTAATTGTTAGTTTCCAAATATGAGGTGGAATGGATGCAAATGTACCCTCTGCCCCCTGGGATGCTCCTCAGTGAGCACGCACCATCAATAAGTAGACACCCCATGGCGATGCGGGGTGTGCAAAGCCCTTACCACCATCAGAGGTCCAACTACTTGTCTCTTGGTTTGTATAACTATCTCTATGAATTTCAGAATAGGCTGCTGGTTATCTATACTGTAGATAGACTGTGGGGCTTGGTTTCTAGAAATTATACCAACTAGCAAGTTACTTAAATTCTCTATGCTTTGGGAACACTGCATGTAAAATGGGGATATTAGTAACAATCTTCATAGTTTGCTGGGGTGACAATTAGATCCATTAATATACATAAGTGTATGAATATACATTAATATACATAAAGCACCTAAAAGAGCTCCTGGTACATAGTAAGTATGCATTATTATTACTATTGGAACTTTATACCAACTGTGCCATTGGTATCTTTCCATCAGCCATATCACCAGTAGGTGTATTCAAATGATTTGCAAACACTCTGTGGCATTTATAGTCTTGAGAATGTGACTTTCAGAAAAATTCTGATATAATCTACCCTATCATTCTAGAATAATAGTTTGTTAAATGTGGCTCATAATATACTCAAATAATTCATGCACCTCAACGGTTAGTACATGAATTCCCTTTTCTCCAAAAGGCTCTAGTTTCCCTACGGCAGGTAATTCAACTTTTATCATGGAATTTATTAACACTAAAATCATCTCCATGATTATATAAAAATGCTTTAAAATCCCCCTCTTTAAAAGAACTCCTTTTAAAAATATTTTATTTTATTTTACTTTATTTTCTTTTGTTTTATTTCATTTTATTTGAGAGAGAGAGAGAGAGAGAGAGCATGAGCAGGGGAGGAGTGGGGGAGAGGAAGGGAGAGAGAATCCTAAGGGGGCTCCATGCTCAGATGCAAGGCTCAATTCCATGACCCTCAGATCATGACCTGAGATGAAATCAAGAGTTGGATGCTCAACTGACTGAGCCACCCAGGCGCCCCTCCTCTTTTGTTTTCTAATGAACTGGATCCAACAAGACATGCACCCCTACTGTGCACTGAAACTATTCTTTTCAAGATTACCTAAGAGCTCCATTCAGGGTGACCCACTGGTGAGTCTCACCTTCACCTTACTTGACCTATTGGCAGCAGGAGACTAGCAGCAGCTTACTCTCTCCTTCTGAATCAGTCTACTTCCCTTAGCTTTAAATTACCTCACAGGCTTCTGGTGTTCCTCCTATTTCTCAAACTTCTTCTCAGTGTCCTTTGTTAAGTCCTTCTCATCAGGCCAATATTTTCAAGCTGAGATACCCCAGGGCACAGTCCCCAGAACTCTTTTGTTGGTGTACAATTTTACTGTAAATTCATCTGGTCTCACGGGTTTAAGTGCTATTTGTATCCTCATGATTCTGAAATTTACCTTCTGGATCCTGATATCTCCTTTGAACAACAGACTTCGCTCTCTAGTTGCCACCCAACGTGTTTCATTGGATTAGATAATAGCAATCTCAACTGAACATGCCCTAAACCAAACTCCTGATCTTCCTTGTAAAAGTGATCCCCCCACTGTGTTTCTATGAAGGTCATTGCAACTTCCCATTTTTGGGTTCTCAGGCCCAAAAGTTTATATTCATCCTTGAATCTCATTCCCCCCTCATACTCTCATCTAGTCCATCAGAAAATTCTGCTGTTTCTACCTTCAAAGTATATTTGAATCATACCATTTCTCACCACTTCCACCACTAGCACTTTGGTCCACACCATAATCCCCTGTCTGGATTATTGCAGTGCTTCCTGACCACTCTCCTGGATGACATGCTTGTCTCCTGTGCTATTCTCTATCAGAGATGCCGCTGCTCCTCCACTCATTTCATCTTACTCAAAGTCCTTTAGTAAAATCCTCAGCAAATATTTTGTCCAGGTTCAAAATACTTCATGGTATTAAAAAAATGGGCCAAATAGAAGATCCAATGACATAACTCTTTTTCCTTTTCTGTTCTTAGGCCATGTTACTTCACCTCACCTTAACAGAGATGCTTCGTGGCTATTACAAACTCCTCTGCTACATCTCAGTCTTTGGAACTAATGATAGAGTGAGAGTGAAAGAGAAAGGTAAATAAGAGAGGCTAAGATAAGTTTAGGCAATAGGATAATACAAATACCTGTTAATGAAAAAACACCTTGTGTTCTCCTGACATAGCCTATAAAGCAAGGTAATTGCTGCCTAATGGTCACTTAGGCATGTTTCTTCCATGTTCTGTTACACAGTTCTTGGTAGTTAACACACTGGCCCTTAAAAAGATCATCTGTTAAACGTATCATTGTATTTAGGGATAATCAAATCATATTAAGTTTACATGAACAAATTTGATTTATAAATATCTTTTCAAATAGGAATTTTCAAGCCCTTTTCTGTAGTGATAGGAGAAAGGCAGGAGACAGATGGCTGAGAACACACAAACTGAAGGAGGGCTGCTGAGGGCATAAAAGCTGGAAACAGAAACAGACTATTTGTTAACATCCCGTAAGAGTGCTGGAAAATGGTTGTGATTGTTTTCTGTAAATATAGGAGCCCCTTTCTCCCATTTATCTTCTTAAAATAATTTTGTACAAATCATTTTCTCCTTCAATCTGGCCTACTAGGAGTTTATGCTAGGAGTAATTTAACAGAGATTATAAACAATTGTTGCTGGGTTACAGTATCTGAAAATTTGTATAGTGTTACTAATAGTAACAACTTTTGTCCAAGGAGTTTAAATGACAAAAGCAGCAACACAAAATCATCTCTACTGGGCACACACTCTATGCCAAAGGTGAGGCTAGAAGATTTGAGAACATTATCTCATTCTGTCCAGGCTCAGGGCATGTTCATACCTGCTAGCAGCCCTTCTAAATTTCGTCTAGTCATCTATCCCTCTAGCATTCTCAACAGTGACCTCAGAACTTTCTACTCTGCTCAGACTTCTGACCTTGTCATCTTTCCTCACTCTTGGGAAATGACTTTGCCTTCTACAGTACGCAGAAATCAGAAATCATAAAAGGGGACTGTGTCTCAGGGTCCTTCCACCAAACTAATTAACTGGAGCACACCCAAATCTCCTCTTTTTGTTCTTTTCTCACATCAACACTCTCTAGTATCTGCCGGTTCCAAAACAGCAATATTAAGACATGCTTAGATGGTCTACCTTAAAACAATAAATGGACATGGAAATAATCAAATTATTTCCCTCCTATCTCTCATCTATATCTGTTTATTCCCCTTCAGATCCAAACTTTTCTGCTAACTGGCCTCCACTTCTTCACCTTTATTTTTGAGGCCATGACTCTGCTTTCCCCAAGGTCTCCCATCTTTGACCTCCTAATTGCTAAGTCCAGTGGTTCTTCTCTGTTCTTGTCTCCCTTGACTTCTTGGTGTCACTGATTCCTTTTCTTCTTGAGGTGTTCTCTTGCACGGACTTCCACAACTATATGTTTTCCTGATTGTCCTATAAACACCCTTTCTCATTCTCATTTGTGTAACTTTTTTTCTCAGCCCAGTTTGATGCTACATTGGTATTTCTTGGGCTTCTCGCCTTTAGCTTCTCCTTTCCCTATATGTATCCCCTGGCAATCTCACTTGAGCAACTGAGTTTACAATATTGATTCTTTTCCTTCTCCTTTTATAACTATAAAAATTGATGTTCAGGTAACCTGACTCTCCTATACATTTCGTGAATGTTTCTGGATGCATTGTTTGTAAAGAGTAGAATTAATATTTCCTTCTGATTATAAGAGCGAAAGTAACATTTTCTTGGATGAGTTCTGGTTTGGAGGACTCTCCCCAATTCTTCTAGATCACTTTTCTTTAGGTCTTATGTCAGCTTCATAATTCACATCTCCTTTCTGGGGACAGGTTAGTGTCAATGATTTCACCCTTTACCTCCTTTCTTGCATTCTGTGTAGATTACAGCAATGAGTATGTTTCCAGTCACAGATTTGCTAGACAACATGGTAGACAACTTACCTTGATGGATTTATAGAAGCATGAACAGAGATTCTCTTTAGGGAGGATGTATTCAGATTTTTGACACAATAAAAATGAGGACCTCGTGTGATCAGTACAGATGGGAGAGGGTGTGTGAACAGTGGCTCTATAGTTTGAAATAAGTTGTAATTTAACATACACGCACAAATACATAAACTTGGCCTGAATTTTGAAAGATGAATGAACTTTTTGATAAGATGTTACATACTGATAATAGCTTTGTAATAGTGATACTGAATTAGCAAAGTTTATTAGTGGCCCCCAATATATCCACCTAGTATGAAGAGCTTCAATAAGCCACTAGGTATAGAAGTCACTCATACAATTGAGTTTCTCTTCTGCAAAACTTTGTCACAAGGAGCACCTTAATATTGATTAAAAAGCTATTGAAATAGACATAAATGATCTTTTGAGCACATCATAAACACATAGGTCATGTCATCCGTATATAGGCTTACATTTCTCACACATTACCATATGTTCTTCACACATTGTACACCTCTTATTTGGAGTCTTGGCCACCACTCAATTCTGCTCACACCTGTCTTCTACTACACGGATATGTTTTTTTATTTTTATGTACAGCATATTATTTAGGCAAACCAATATCCCCTCTTTCAAAGAGATTTATTCACTTGGGGGAGGCCTACCTTCCACTCACTGTGCATGCATAACTCAAATGAAAGCTAAGGTGGGTTATATTTTTATGTCTTGGGAAGAATAAACTTCTTAAATGCTTTACAAGTCTTTTATTTTGGCACTGGGACAGGACCACCTTGTGTTCTCCAACTCTCTCAAATATGAAATTGTCGATTCATTTTGGTTTCTGAAGGCAATTTTTTTTTTTTAACAGCAAAGAGAGGTAATCTCAGCATTGTGATGTGTTACAGGGCATAGTATATTCAAGCTAATGAGCATGTTTTAAATGGAGGCCACTGGTAACAAGAAGATTCTTAAATGAGGAGAAAAAAAATGTCTAGTTCAGAGCCCAGAGCTGTTGTGTTGTTAGGAGCCAATAATATCTAGTGTTTCAAAAAATATATTCAAAATGATAATATGTGAGGGAAGTAGCTGAGTGTTGTAAAAGAGGAAGTTTAAAGTACCTCTATTGTGCAGCAAGTGAACCTTAGATGAAAAGGCCCACTGGGGTGGAGAGAAAGGTAAGTTTTCCACATGGCTGTGCATTTTTTAATAAATAAACTAAGATCATTTATTTTTCCTGTGTCCCAATAGCCACCTCTCTGCCATCTTGCAGTTCAATTTACAGAGCCTCTGTGACATGTTATTTTTATCTTCGTAATGCAAACGTATAGTAGCACAAGGCAGCAACAGAAATGCAAAATCACAGCTTTTCTAATCCACATACTTAAAGTTAAAACGTGTCTGGGGCTTGCTTTTGTTAAAGCCACACTGTATGTTTGGCCAGCAGCAGGAGGCATTATAACATCAGAGCTAGAAGACGCTGCCAGTCTTCTGACTTCTTAGATGTCCCTTTTATAGGAGCCAAAATAATTCCTCCTCTTAGAAGCTACCTTTTCCATAGCAATCATGTTGTCTGTACAAAGACAGTAGGGTAAATGTCTCACATTAGAAGGTAAATTAACTTCCTTTTATTTTACATTTGCAGTGAAGCTAAACAGGTTCTGATCCTTCATTATTTTGAAATTGTTATAAGCTGAATTTATAAGATATTAGCATAACCCATATGTTTGGTCAAATAGATAGAGTAGTGGGATAAAAAGCAAAATAAAATTTATCATTCGATCTGTTATTTTCAACAACTAGAAGAGTCCAGTCTCAGCATCCAGTTATCCTGTGTAAACAGGTCCACTGAGTCTTCACCTTCCGCCTGAAATCTGCCACCCTAAAGAGAAAGGGCTCTTGTAACATACTTACATGTCAGCCAAGGACAGCTCAGTGCCACTCCGAGGCAGCCCTACAAGGGCTGCATCATTTATGTCCATCTTGCACAGATATATAAATAGCTTTCTTCACTGCACAAATATCACCACAGCTCCAACCAAATTAATCTTTCAAATGACACTGTCTCTGGATCTGAAACTTGTAACTTACAGACTGCAAGAGATACCCATGGAAAATGAGGAGATATTAGTTTATTTTACTCACTGCAAAGATTGGAGCATACTTTTTTTTAATGACATAAGTGTGTGAGTTAGGATTCCTGGCTACATGAACATTAAATTCCTTTATAATTATGCTTTTTATGTAGTCATGCTGGGACATAGCTCAAAATATTTGGATTCACACATGATGTACAAAAGGGAGTTTTTATACAAGGAAATACTCTAATTATATACAATGTCTGTCTCAGATAGGTGGCAAGAAAGGCAGTGGAAAGAAGCTATTGCTTGCTTTCTCAGGATTTACTGTACCCATTGGTCTATTTCATCATGAAACTTCTTTGTGTCCATACGATTAGGTAAAGAAAAATATATATATTTCAAAGTGTGTGCCAGCTGGTTGAAAGGGCATCCTCTACCAAATAAATCTTAGATCAAAACTCTTGTCAATGCTTGGTTCATTGAACTGTGCTTTTAAGATGGGCAGAAGGGTGTGTGCTCCTTCAGTAGGACCTTTGGCCCAAATGACCAGGCCTATGAGGACAGATCCTGACTGCCAAGTTCCTGTCTAGCACTTGGCTTTGTCATTTCATCCTCCTTCTAGTGACTTTTCCCCAAGATTCAGCAAGCTACTTTAGAGTAAAGTAAGACCTGCCCCTGCAAGGATCTGGTGATACTTTTTTTGCTATTCTTCTATCTGGGCCACACTCTGAAATACTCTTTTGATGTAAGAACTGAGTCTTGTCCATTCCCGTTTCTGCTTTTTGTCTGGTACTTCAATCAGGTAACAAATATTTACTAGATATCTATTATACGCTAGGCATCAACTACTAAGAGGACAATGATGATTTTTATTTGCATTTCCTTGATGATTAGTGACGTTGAGCATCTTTTTATGTGTCTGTTGGTCATCTGTATGTCTTCTTTGGAAAAATGCCTATTTAGGTCCTCTGCCTATTTTTGAATTGGATTATTTGATTTTTTGGTATTGAATTATATGAGTTCTT